ATAACAGCACTAGGTATTAGTGAGTAAAGTGTTCGAATGGTTCGCGGAAAAACACGCCAATTGCGTCAGATAACACATACTAGATGGAGAGCTTGCGCCAAAGGTCTGGTGGGCAATTGAGTCAGCATCATGCATATTATGTCCGTATCATCATCCACAAAATTCCTCGGGGCCAATTGGAGTATACGAACCGCTGGTAGCAGCAGCGTGGTGCTTGACAGCAGCTCTCTCGCGGTTGAACGAGTTGTCGACCATCCAAGGCAGCTTGTTGTCGGTGCTGTTGAGGCGGCGCTGGAAAGCAGCGCGAGCAGGAGCGCTACGCAGCTGCTGAGCAGCGCGGAGGATGTTGCGTTGAGGGAACATGGTGCTGAGGGGCAGTCAAACGGCTGTTGCGTCTTTCTTCTGCTTTGACAGACAGTGGGATTATACGGACGTCGGGCGTTCCGGCTTAACGAAGCAAAGCCGGTTTAGCGTCCCCGTGATTCGTCTGCGGGCAGCCGCTGGTGCCTTAGTCATCAATCAGGCCATCATCGCGTGATGTCACGGCGCCCTCTATGTCACGTGCTGTCACGGGATCGTATAGCTGCAGCTACTGCGGTAGGATGAACAAGTACCACGAATCGATTTTATTGAAGGAGATGAAGTAAAATTCTCTGATTTAGGTATTCCCCGAGCTCTGGCAGGCTGTGCTATGTACGCTTGGAACACGCTTCACAGCAACCGCGATGGGGTTTCGCATAACAACATGGAACGGTAAGCATGATCGATAGCGGAAACCAGTTCCCCAGCTGGATACTCGGACTAAAGATTGATTTGTCTAACAGTGAACGGGATACGGTATGCATTGTAGACATATTCACTGGTACATCGTGTGGTGCTGAGATCTAGCAGGAATCCGTTCTCGTATGAACCATGGAGAGGCAGCCGAACCTTCGAGGTAGATTTACCCAAGGTCCTTCATAGTCTGAAACGAGAGGCTCATCAATGAGTAGTCAATGTTTGATATTCTCGAGGCAGATATTGTCGTCTTTCAGGAGACCAAGATTCAACGAAAAGATCTCCGCGATGACATGGTGCTAGTACCTGGCTGGGACTGCTACTTCAGTTTACCAAAAACCAAGAAAGGTGCGCTCTATAAGGTATCAGGCATGTCGTTCAGTTCTGACATTTTTCAGGATACTCCGGAGTTGTGATATACACTCGAAATGCGACATGCTGTCCCATCCGCGCAGAGGAAGGACTTGCTGGAGTACTCTGTCCGCCCAATTCGTCAGTGTCTTTTCGAGACCTGCCTGAAGACCAACAAATAGGAGGCTATCCGACCATTGCACAACTGTCAGAGCTAGAGGTTGATGCAGCTACCCTGGACTCGGAAGGTCGTTGCGTCATTCTAGAGTTTCCTGCATTTGTTCTACTTGGAATTTATTCACCAGCCAATCGCGACGAATCACGGGACAATTTCCGCCATAGCTTCATTGACCTGATGGATGCTCGCATTCGAAATCTAGTTGCGATGGGGAAGAGAGTCTTTGTCACAGGAGACCTTAACATTGCGAAAGGGGAAATTGATGCAGCTCATGCTACCGAGGCCATCAAGAAGGGAAAAACGACAGAGGACGAGTTTATATCCGCCCCGGCACGGCGCCTGTTCAATCAACTGCTTTCTGATGGCAGAGTAATTGGTCAGCGCGATGAAGGGAGGGAAAATCCTGTGTTATTTGATATCTGTCGGTCGTTTCATCCCGGTCGAAGGGGAATGTACACTTGTTGGGAGCAAAGAATCATCGCTCGACCGGGAAATTATGGCTCGAGGATAGACTACGTCCTGTGTAGCCTGGATATGCAAGATTGGTTCAGCGATTCGAACATCCAAGAGGGTCTACTGGTAAGCCCCGAGGTTGCTATGGCTTTGTTGCAGATTGATTTTTCGGCTGACTTTATGCAAATGGAATAGGGATCCGATCATTGCCCGGTTTATGCGGTCTTCAAGGACGTCATACGCCTTGGCGAAGAAGACGTCAACATTCTCGACATAATGAACCCTCCMGGGATGTTCAAAGATGGCAAGCGTCAGCAGGAATACTCTGCTAAAAACCTTCTGCCTACGTCGGGACGCTTGATACCAGAATTCGACAAGCGGAGAAGCATCAAGGACATGTTCTCGCGTAAACCGTCCACCAACATACAGACACCAACCACGAATGCCCCGACGTTGAAACGCTTTGCCTCGACTCAGGAAATGGAAACGCCAACCGCTATTTCGGAGAGCGCTGACAGCCGGTCTGCAGCAGTTTCTGATAGCACTCAAACGAAACAAACCGGTCGTAAGAGGTCTCAGAAAAGTGAGACTGGCTCCCCTGTCTCAGTCAAGCGTTCGAAATCCGGTTCAGCTCAACCATCAGCACCTTCCACTGCTGGACAGAGGACTCTAAAGGGGTTCTTCAAGCCTAAAAGTGGACCAGGCGGCCAAGCGACCATAGCCCAGGATTCTGCGTCGGTGTCTACTGTACCAACGAAACAATCAACCTCGTCCCCTACGAAATCTACCCCTGTTGCGGAACCTGCTGCATTGGAAGCATTACGGGCGGCACCCGCCGGTGAAGCTTCACCGGGAGAACAGCCAAGTTCCGCCAATCCTACAACTCCCGCTTCGTCCCAAAACGATGATACTGTTATCGATCCCATTGTCAGCAAGGAGGACTGGTCAAAGCTCTTTACTAAAAGGCCTGTTCCCAGGTGCGAGGGTCACCAGGAACCATGTATCAGTCTGACAACTAAAAAGCCTGGCATCAACTGCGGAAGGTCGTTCTGGATCTGTCCGAGGCCACTTGGGCCCAGCGGAAACAAGGAAAAGGGGACGCAGTGGCGTTGTCCTACATTTATATGGGCCAGTGATTGGAACCCTTCCGCTCCGTAGTTTTTTTTTGTCTCTGCAACTTTCTTCTTCGGATAGTGTAACTATACCCGGTTCCATACTCAGAAGGTTAGGAATGGTAATGAGATATCTTGGTTTCGAAGATGAGACATCATGTACGGAGTAAAGTGAGACTCTTCGAGGTATATCTGACTGTAAACAAGAGCAACTATGGGACGAAAAGGGTGGTCAGCGAGCTGAATGCCGGGAGCACTCAGCCGGATTGAAGACTACTTATCGACTCTCTTTTGAAGGCGAACGCATAGCAGTCGATTTTCCTCAAGTAAAATTCAAAAGTACCTCGTGGTCCCTGAGGAACGCATGTTCCGGTGTGCACGGCAACAAGCATGCCGGAACCGGATATGACAGGTGCACAGCTCTCAAGCGGTTGCGGCATGCAAGGGCCCGCCAGACCTCGCGGACCACCATGCAGCGTGTCTTACAATTTGATCTAATTAAACAGGCTGCAGAAGCTGTCGGGTAACCTTGGACAGCAAGGGGGGCAGTGCTCGGGTCGCAGACACGTTTGAACTTACTCTCGACCTCGAGCATTAGCTGGCCAGACGGGAAAAAAGACTGGACACTCGAGATAACACATGTTGATTAACTCCGTTCTTTGTATTTGTTTGTCTGCTATGTCCTAACTAAGTGACTATCTAGAAGTCTGATATTCTCGGAGTAATTACACTGATTCATCTGATATCTTCTGAAAACAAGTCTCCAGAGTCGTCAGCCATCCTTCCATCGCCCAGGATAAAAAATGAAAGAAACAAATAATCCGCGCCGGTATGGTACAGTGTCAAAGGCAACGATGTATCGAAGCCCTCAGCTAGAGGTGCGAATGTAGAAATGTACAAATGGTGCTTGCTCAAGTAACAATAACAGAAGGGGCAAAAAGACAAGCAGAGAAGAAGCACACGTTCCAGTCCATCTTAGAAGCAATCAGAGATGAAGTCAGTGAACTCAAAGTTCTCTCCAATCTGACCCTCGGGAAGGCTGAGTTGCTGGTAGAGGGCAGCCTTGTTGTAATCGTTCTGCATCTGGTGCATGAGATCTAACGCATTTGGTTCAAAATGATACTGCTGGTCCTCTGGCATGCCATTAGGAGTCATGATGGCATCCATACCTGGAACACCCCCAAAAGCAACATTGAAGTCAATCTCGCCCACTGTCATGCCCTGGAGAATGGCAGGAGTGGAGACATCAGACGAGACGCTCGCCGAAGCCGGAGTATCGAGCAAGGCAGCAGGCTGGGTGTTCTTGGAGAACTGACGGGATGAAGCACGACGCTTTCTCTAAAAGGCTGGGAGAGTTATATCAAATGTCTCTATAATTCTCAGCTTGCATATTTCTAAGCTCTTTTGTCAGGGTTGTGGATTCGCCCAGCCCTCATTTCGTTCTGCTTTCCAGTGTCTTCCAGACATCATAGCCAACTTCCTTCGCGAGTGCCCAGCAGAATTCACAGGTACAAGCTGCGGCTTTTACCGGTAACTCCAGCCACCTCAGGTAGTTCCTGAAGAAACTTAGGCTGGTGCATCTCGAGCACAAGTGATAGGGCGGAATTGGACACACTGACTTCATTCCGACAGCAGGAACACTTGTTGTCCATCGTCTTCCGCATAACATTTGTATGTCTTCACACTAAGAATCTATGTAATTATTATAGAGCATAATACTCCTGCAGGATTTACAAGCTCTATGAAAATCAAATAGCGTAAGAAATAATAACGGGGATGGCCTACTTAGTTGGAGAGGGCCGGAGGGGGAGGCGGGTGAATCGATTGTCGAGAGGTCTCAGTGAAAGATAGGACATTTCTTTGTTTACATCCTGCCACAAACTCAGCCTGCGACATTGTACCCAGCCTCATTTTTCTATCGAGGACAAACACTGAAAGAGGTTTATCCTTTCTCTTCTCCTTTCGTCGGCTTCTTCTCTTCAAAACCCTTTCCATCCCAACAATCGGTTGGATCTTCAAAGTCTCCTTCTGCGTCTACGCTTGCCTCTTGTCTGTTCATCTTGAGCTTCTCATTCAAGAGTATCTGCACAGTCTAGTCTTGAGAATAGACGCTCAGTCTTCTATTCGAAATGGACGCCGCAATCTCTCCCCTCGAGCGTGCTTTCAACACCTTTTTGACGACCATGCCACCAGAGCAGCTGGAGGAGCTTCTGCAGTACCTCCAAGACACCAAGGCTCAGGAAAACAATGGTCTGCAGCTCCCAGATTCAACTCCTGCCACTGGTGCAAACTACGCTTTGGACAATCATCGCGGTGCTGCCGTTCCAGTTGCCGCAACTTCTCGTTCCCTGGTTACTCGTGCCAAACGCACCCAGGAAGGAAAGAAAAGACCTCTTAACAGCTTTATCGCGTTCAGAAGTGAGTCCAACTTTATCACCAAGTATAGATACACAGACTAATAAAGAATAGGCTTCTACTCTGTCATCTTTCCGGACCTCACCCAAAAGGCCAAGTCGGGCATTCTTCGCTTCTTGTGGCAGAATGACCCTTTCAAGGCCAAATGGGCAATCCTCGCGAAAGCGTACTCCATCATCCGCGATGATCATGGGAGCGAGGTTTCTTTGGATCAGTTCCTGGAAATTACTGCCAAGTTTATCGGTCTGTTCGAACCCACTCGCTACCTCGACGCGATGGGTTGGCAGTTGAACTTCGATGCCCAGCAGCAATACACAATGGCTAAAGTCAAAATCACAACTATCCCTGAAGCCGACGTTTCTACCAACTACTCGGTTGACGACGTCGTGAAACACTGCTATGATACTGGCTACGTGTCTGAGAAACCACGCAAGCACACCGCAAGTAACGGCAACAATACTTCCACCATGGCCTTTGCTGCTCAGCCAGCTTTCGTTGTCAAAGCGGAGAACGGCATTCAGATCACTGGCGACGATGCTATTGTGACTGACGATGCCTTCGGAACTCCTGAAGTGGAATTCCCATCTCCTGAAGAGACAGATGGCACTCAGACTCCTGATCCTGTCGAGGCAGAACCACTTGTCGACAACTACCCTTTGGCTTTCATGAATGTACCTGGCGTGCCTGACGGTCAGCAGCTTGAACTTGAACTCTTCCAGGGCAATGACTTCGATCTCAACATGCAACTCCCATTTATCGACGCCTTGCCATTTGATCTAGCTGCCGCAGATCCCTTTCCGCTGAACTATGACCCACTGGAAGAGCCTCCTTTTGGCGTCTTTGACATGGATCAATACATCAACGTCTGATCGGCCATGCACTGAGGTCGGGCCCCGCACCTCTTGAGTGTCTCGAGTCTACTTCTGCAGATCATCTTTGCGCAGAAGGGTACTCACGATGTCTCAAGCTCTTTTACATGTACACTATCTGATCTCGTTTCCGAATGTACTCTATTCATTTTCCATCGGCATTTCGAAGCAAATCCCGGTTACGATCTGAGCGCGGTTACTTTTCGTGGCGGCATCAGCTTTCCGATGCATAACGACTTTCGACGAATTGGGGCTTTCACGATTCTACATTCGACATCAAGTGGCCTATCTTATGGATGTCTGGCGCAGTTTCCGTTTGTTATTTGGTTTCGAAGGGTTTCGTCGGGCTTGCAGTTTACAACAATGTCACGGTCTTCATTTCTTTCCTTGTTTCCATGAGCACCAATACACTTCTCATCGAAGTCTTTCCTGTCGGTGGCTCAATCAATTAGCATAGCTTAGCTAGTTCAAAAGATAAAAAAAATAATGATAATTGTTTCGAAGTACTTCATCGCTCTCACAAGTAGGATAGATTGCTCTTTTCAAATCACTTTAACTTCTACACTGTCTACATTGCGACCTTCTTCGTGGTATATGCGCTTTAGCATCATAACGTACGGGCTCATTTCAATTCCTATGCGGACTACTGATTCAGGAGTACGGTCTTTGATCAAAAACTCGCAATTTCCCTCGATTTCCTTGGGACAAACACATGGTTGAACCAGCCTGCCAGCCACCTCAAAGCTCCAGACCCGCAATGGTATGGGGTACATCGTAGCTTCACAGAAGTGAAGTCGATCCAGCCACCCATCTCCTACCGGCTTTTTCCTTTTAGTTTACACCAGTGAAAGATCTCAAGGCTCTTAGTTCCAGTCACCTTCGCCACCGTTCTGTTATTCGTGAATTCGAACGAACTAGAAGGTCGGTATTTCACTTCTACCCAGCCATCCACAACGACAGATCGATCCACTTGCTTCCAGTCTTACTAGTCACCAGCTGCCAGGCAAGTGTGGAGAAGCTCGGATGAAAGCTGGAGACAGCCGTTCACTCGTGGCAAGATCCATAAGGCTACCTGCCACCACGAGCCGGAATCAACATGCTTCGGCCTTCACGAGATCGACGCAATGGCTCGACACAAACTCAGCCAAGGAAAAGGTACGCCACCAACATTACTCTGTCACTGTCACAGTTCTTATCATCCGTATCACACTCGAACCACACAGAACACACCAGCCCAACCAATCAAGTCTCTTGCCCAAAACAGAAGCAAGTAGCAAGAAACCAACCCAACGCAAGACGGGCTCGCGGTCGATCCAACCGGCCCCTATCCCCGCTCCTCTCATCAACGTAGGTGACAGACCTAGAACCCAGTGCAGTGCCTCACGTTGTCCAAAGAGCAGGTCAGTATCCACCGCAGCCCAACCCACCGGAATAGGAAACCATCTACAGGGTCCAGACATGCAAAATTGCTGACTCGCGCATCCGACAACTGCAGGGATACGGCGAGAAGTTAGAACAACCACCCAAAGCCGAAGCCAAAGCCAGACCGCGAACGAGAACGACTGCCCCCGGGTCCTACAAGCCTACTTTCTTACAGATCATTCTCGACGACGTCACAGGAAGCGGGGAGAGGGTTCCCCTTGTTCCCCGACTCCTATGCGGATGCGCGTGGATGCAATGAACAAAGAAACTCGCATTTAGCCCTAATTCTAAACTTGAGGCGTCACGATAAGATTTGCGGTGGGACCCGCGCCAAGACGAGCCGGCACTTGTCAGCAGGGAACGTGAGGGCCCAAGGTCGAATGAGAAACGGCGGCGAATGAGAGGACAAAGAAACCGATGGCGCGCAAGGAKGTCTGTGTGGGATGTAGACTGTGATCCATGCACTGCAGCACTCCATGGACGCAAGGGCTGTCAGCTGGCTATAACTCGATGCGGGTTCAGGACGATCATCTGCATCTGGAAGCTCTGGAGGCTTAGCCTAAGCTCGAATACATCAATTGACTTTGTTTTTGGCCTTTTTGGCAGACAAAGGATGAAAGTATGTTGTATCTTTCGTATGTAGCCGCCCTGGGTCTAGTCCGTCTGAACTTCGTATAATGCAAAAGCTCGTATAATATGCGAAGCACCGTTACATACAACAAAAAATATATTGCTCCCAGTCTTGGTATATTGAATATATGAAGAAGAGACCGCATAACGAAAGGAATCTGGTCGGAGTAGAGGAAAGAAACAGAGCGACCGGGGGATTAGAGACACACGAGAGGAAGGGAAAGAAGCATACGACGGACTTGACCATCTGTAAGTATCGAGAGCACGCAAGCAATAAAATACAACTACATTGCCACCGTGGCTTTACCATCCAGGGTTGTTTCTACCACGAGCACCACGTGGACGGAAGGCGATCCCGCAAAACCCACGGATATAGACACCCTGTAGACCACTAACTCTCACCAATGGTAATAAGGGAATGAACATTAATCCTCTTGGTAAGAAATCTTGCGCATCTCTCCAAGGCGTTGACGTGCCCGGGCCAGACTGTTCTCGAGTTGAAGGATTTCGACCTGTACGCGAGAAAACAACCAGTCAGCATCTTCGAAAGACACACGCGCAAAAAGGAATGTAGCATATAGGACGAAATCAAGCATACCTGTTGCTCCATTTCTCGCACCTTGAACTCGTGCGAGCTGAGCTTCGCGTAGTCGACGGTCTCCCCTTCATCCCGATTGCGTTCGGCAATGATATCTTGCACTTGTCGCACCAGAGCGCGGCAAGCGGCACCGACTGCCTTGCTAGCGGCCTCGAGGCGGTCCTGCGTCTTGCTCATGAAAGTGGCCTTGACTCGGCTGGCAGCCACCAGCTGAGCAGTGCTGGCGGCCACATCGTTACTGGCCACGATCAACTGCTCGGGAGAGTTGCGGCCGGAGATCACACCGTCTGCTGTCTCAATCAGAGTATTGGTTGAGGTGGCAACAGCCTTGGCGGCCGAAATCAGACCCTCCGTCCACCGGTTGTTCTTCTTGTAGAAGGCCGTTCTCGACGAGCTGCCGCGGCCCTCACGCACGATTTCCTGCTGCGATGCCGTCGCAGCCTTAATCAGTTCGGCAATCGCGTTGGTAACGGCGATAGCAGCCTCCAAGATCACATCGTTGATGCGAAGCTCGTATGTCGAGAAGCCTTCGCGAGGCTTCGTCTTAAGCTTGGCCAAACGAGCTGCTGCAGCCTCGATAGCATCGGCGGCCTTGCTAAGCTCTTTGTCCACCAGATCACCCAGGTCGCCGCTCGTACTAATCTTGGTGCTCTTGGGAGCAAACGTGTCAACCAGCTTCGACAACGACTGCAGATCTTTCTGAACCTCCAAGTTGTTGTTGATCACAACATCGGTCTTCTGCAGAGGTTCAAGTCCCTCGAGACGGAAGGACTGCAGTCCGCGGAAGAAGCGCACGGTCGCCTGGGCCGACTTGCGCGCCGCATTGAGCAACTGATCGGCGCTCTTGTCGTCGTTGGCGAAACGAGTGAGACCCTTAGTGTTGCTCAACACATCCGCAATGGAACCAGAAAAGATAGAGACAGTGCGAATAATCTCTGCATGGGGACTGTTGGGGCCGTCGGCGATGTAATTGTTGAAAGCGGTCGAGAACTCGGTTGCGGACGCAGACGCCTTTTCGACCTGAGAGAGCACGTAGGGAGGGGAAGCGTTCTGGTTACCAGCCTGCATGGTGGAGTCCAGTTCGTACAAGGCATCATCAACACGCTGCACACCTGTTTGGAGGACAGAATCAATAATGTCGTTGATCTTGGTCACTGTGCCTTGCAGGACGGTGTCAATTTGAGAGTCTAATGCATGATCGACGTCACCCTGGCTCTGTATTGTTCTCTGGCATCAGTCACAGTTCAAAAAATAGCAATCTAGCCAGTAGAGAACAAAAGAAATGAGGACGTACGAGTTTTAGCTCCTCAAGCTCCATGAGCGCCTGTTCCATTCCCGACTTGTAAACCTCGATCTCTTCATCCTTCTCGCGGAGCGCAAGTTCATGGTCTCCTTGACTGTCCATGTTCCGAGACGAAAATTCTTCCAAGGCGCGAGTTTTGTTCTGTGCAATTGAGTCAGCAGAGCTATGAGATAGCAAGATTTCCAGTCATGAAACTCACTCTGAGTGCCTCCTCGAGGTCCGCCATCTCACGGTTGTACTTCGACAACAGAGTCGAGATCTCGGTGCCCTTTGAGCGCTCGGCATTCTCAGCGCGTTCGATAGCAAGCCGAAGTTCGCGCTTGAGCTTCTCCAGCTCCTCCTTATTGGTCCCCGTCAAGCGGTCCCTGTCATGCAGAGCACGATCCCTCTCCCTGATCATATCAGCCAACTCAAGATTCTTTGTCTTCAGCTCCCGCTCAAGCTTCTCGCGCCTCTCAATCGCCTCTTGGGCTGACGCTGCCTTGAGCTTGAGGCTCTTGGTCGTCTGTAGAAGGTCCAGATGCTCCTGTCGAAGCTGGGAGTAGAGCTTGGCCAGGGCCTCGTACTTGGAGCGCCAAGTATTGACCTGCTCCTGCAAAGCGCGAATCTGTTCGTCTTTCGAGGCGTTTTGCATGTTCAAGTTCGTGGTCAGCTGCGCCATCTGCTCCTCCAAATCCTTCACGCGGCGATCATATTGCTGCAGCATCAGCTGGTCACGCTCGTACTGAGCCCGGGCATTCAGGTTTTCCCGTTCAAGTTCCGCCAATCGACCCTGAGTATGGGTCTGATACTGCTCACGCAAGAGTTGTTCCTGAGCCAGTCGCTGCTGCTCTGCCTGGAGACGCTGCTGTTCCTCAAAGTCACGTTGCGCTTGCTGCTGCGCAAGAAGTTGCTGGCGCTGCTGTTCTTCCCACTGTTGCTGAAGGCGTTGCTGCTCCGCTTCAAACTCCTCCTGTTGACGCTTCGCTTCGTTGGTCCAGAAGTCGTTGATGGGCTCCGGCTCAGCAGCCACTGGCTTTGGCGGCGGAGAAGGCTGTTTCTCAACCTCCTTTGTCGGCCGTTTCGGTAGAGCTGGACGCTCGTCGTCTTCGCCCAATAAGCTCGGAGGATCTTGAGGTAACTTAGGGACAGTGATCAAACTCGTGAGATAACGCAGGTTGGAACATTCATAGTAGAATCGGACTAGCCGATAGTGCTGAGCGTCATATCGACCACGAAGTGGCTCGAGTGCCTCGTTATCTCCCGTGGCTATAAGTGAAAAAGCAGGTCAGGATTCACAAGGCGACCTGCTCCCAGGACTGGCGGATGCTTACTAGTATGCATAGCCCTTAGCATGCTTGTGATAAACTTGTAAATGCCATAGCTTTCCTGCACAAGGGGAACCAATGCGGAGATTCTACACTCGTTATTGGTTCCTGACTGGAAGTGGGAGAAGATGAGCTTCTGGAAAGTGTCAATCTGATCCTGTAGTGTCATGAGATCGGAAATGGTCTCGTATCTGGAACAGTCGTCAGTCGAGGTCATCGCCAGTAGACGCTGAAGGACATAGCTACCCTTCATTCGGATCGTTGATCGTCTTCAGACTGATATACTCCTCGTATTCAAACAGCCCTTGACAAAACGTCAGTATCCCATAATAAGCGAGCCTCCAGCTTCCTTACCATTGAACTCAGGATGATTCCGATGAAACGCCAACTTCGACTCGAGGAAGAAGACATATTCACGAATAAGCGGACCGTATCCTAGTGACACATGCACAAATCAGCCGAGTGCTCTCTCAAAACCGAACCGTCTCTGCCGCATACCTCTAATGCCATCCCCTCCAACACCCCTCATCAAGCTGTCAATCCAATTGACATGCTGCTGCGCTTCCCTCACAACAATCGGGTGTCCTTCCTGCAGAACTTTATGTATTGTAATCAAGGCCTTGAATGTCTGGACTTCATCGGCAAGCACAGGTTGACTATACGGAACCGGAGCGCAACAAAGTCAGTTATCATATCCGCAGCATAGCAACGCATTTTAAGCCATCACGCACACTTTCATGCCAGCCCAGAAGGCGGCAGAAGACTTGTGGTCCCAAGTATAGACGATACAACTCCGGACATGTTTCCCTGGTGAACAAAGATCAGTGGCGAGCTCATATCAGGGGAAGCCGAGGGCGATGCGCGCAAGCGTCTCAGCGGGTGACCTGCGTACGTTTCGGGGCGGTTTCCTCTGCGGATTGCAAATTTCAGATCAGTCATACGGAACATTGGAAGAAAAAGCATGGGGTATAGTCTCGGGCACACATACCGATACTTGTTGCTTTCCGGATGTTGATCGCGAGATCAGCCTCCGTGCTACATGGACGTATTAGCTGAGCCGTTTTTTTATCTTCCGCAGGTTCAATTCACAAGACAATCGGCCAAGCTACTCACCGACTCATTTTGAAGGCGGGTGATTTCACGGATTTCGCGGGGATCAGGGGAGCAGAAGACGATCGTAGATGCGGCGGAAGCCGGTGGGCCCGTGACAGCGAGTGTGGATGACAAGCAACACTTGCGCTAACAAGGAAAGACAGAACAACGAGGGAGCAAAGAAAACAAAAGCAATAGTAAAGGCCCAGTGAAAAAAGAAAGATACAGAAAATGATTGTGAGCGTGTAGAGGTCGAGATGGCAGTGTGGCAGAGCCCAGATAATGACGTTTTGGGCGTCTATCGGGAAAGTTGGCGCCTGCAGTTTGGCCATCGCAAGTCTTGGCGACGCGTCGTCCTCCTGATATATCTCCTTAACGTAGGGCATGAAGCCCAAGGTTATGATTACATATATGAAGCTTCTGCCTAGTGATATATCTGAATATGTATCAATCTGAGAACCCCTATGACTGCTGTATGCTCAATGTACTAACTTCGACTTTCACCTTAATATAGTGCTAGTGCTACTCTGTAGAATGGGATGGCAATAGGTCCATCTACCCAATGATGAGAACAATACAAAGAGACCACATTATACTGCGCTCAGTCCTCCAATCAACCTATCTGCACCAAGAACGCCGGCTTGCCCACAAGAATACGCTGGCTCTGCGCCCGCAGAACCATCCGGATAAAACATGTATAAGAAGTGACATCGAGGCTGGATGTCTCACCCGAAGCGGTACAACTCTCACTAAGGTAAAATTCCATCTGTCGCTGATAATATTTCCATGCCGTGCTTTGTGATACTGGGCATTCCTTGAGCACTGGAGTCAGGCTCGCACGAACTTTGCTCCGTACCATCATCCCAGCAACGGCTCGCAACCGCACCATCCGATCTGGAAAGGGATAGATCCTGAGTATCTGACTGGGTCGCACTCGGCTGTACTATATCTATCTCAGAAGCGGAATCAGGTGCCGGGCTATTGGGCGTCGAATCGTATGGCGCCTCAACCACGAGCAATTCGTCGGGGCTGCTTTCGTCACCCTCCGGTGCCGTAAGAGGCTTCCGTTTTGGCAGGGGAGGCTTTGGGACAGGCCTCTTCGCGCCGCCTTTGGAACGCTCGGGGAGAGGCGGTGGTACAGGCTTCCGTCGAGGAATAGGGTTACTCTTGATGCCGAACTTATCAGGGCGCGGTAATGGGGTGCCTGGAGGAGGAAGAGGATGACCACGTCCGATCGGCTCGTCGGGAGTGCCTGCAGGCCGAGAGGTTTCCTGGCCATTGGAATCTGCCTTTCCAAACACACTCCAACCCCATTTCTTCGCTGCGGCGGTCGCTGTACCCAGGGAGATTGATAATTTTGGCTTCTCTTCGGGAGCAGTCGAAGCTGTGGCTGACCTGGTCAGGGTCCCGACAGTTTCCAACGTGCTTCGCCTACGCGATCTTTCGCTACTGATAGACGCGTTGGAACTTCCCTTTCCACTTCGGAGAGTGAATGACGATTCACTGGCCATGTGCGCAGATGTAGGGCGCGTTGGAGAGCGGCTGGCGAACTCGCCAACACTTTCAATAGACTCCGTAAATGATGACCCTCGACTGGGAGCCAGCTTCTCTGGGTTCATCTGGCTGATTGAGGGCGGTGATCCATTCGGCGTCTTATTCGGTGAGCTAGGAGGCGAACGGCTCGAAATCTCAATCATCGCACTGGCAGCACTGCTCTTCTCTTCGCCCTTGGAATCACCCGTGACTTTTTCAATCTTGATGTTGTCAGCGGTGACGACAGGATCGGCCACATTAGAAAATGTCTGAGATCGAATAGCGCGCGGCGGAGACAGACCGCCTGCTTTATCAACGGCGGATGATATACTCGTTTCGGAGTCGGTTGTGACGGACTTGGAGCTTTTGCGGGATTTTAGCGATCCGGAAGTGGTTTCCAAAAGGACAGGCATGCTCATTGCGCGATCATCATTCGCCTTCAGAACCTCGATTGAGTCCTTTGTAGTCGGCGTTTGTGGCTGACTGATTGACTCGTCAGGGATCTCAGCCTTTGAATCTGGTCCTGGGACTTCGCGTTGCCAGATGCCGCCGCGATAAGGCTGCGAAGCGGTGTCCAGGAAGGGAATATCATCCCAGTATGGCTGAACAACACTCTCAGCGACAACTTCGCGAATTCGACTCTCGATAGTCCGCAGAATAATGCCGTAAGTGATCTGCTTCGAGCTGACAATCGGTTCGATGTCCATAACCATGTTTGGCATTGTTTCGAAAGAAACCCACACTCTGTTACTGGGCGGGGGCTTGAACCGAATCAACATGTGGCCTTCGAGCTTCTTGAGAACTACAGCGAGAACAATGTCAACTTCTCGTGCCTTGAAACGTGGACCCAGGTCAATGCGAACGGTGGCCGAAATCTCCAGGCGAAAGTTGCCAGCGTATTGGATGTCAGTCTCCACGCAGCAGTTCCCATCGACCGTCAGATCCTTGAGCCTCGGGTTAGTGATGAAAGGGGCACCTTCACCCATGTCAATTCGCTGCAAACGGATTTTGCTGATAAAGTTCGGCTTGTTGACCCGGGAGATCTTCTTCGTGATCTTCTGCCGAATGAAGTCTTCTACCTCCGGGGTCTTGTATAAGGCCAGGAACAGTCTGCCGAGCACGGCATTGATCCACCGCGTCTGCAGCTGCTCCTCGGATGAGTGCAGGCGTTGGACTAGGGTGACAATATGCTTGACGTCAAACTGCTGTTGCTTGGGCGGACAATTTGGAAAGTCGCCCATCCGGGTCTGGTTCTGGAGCATAGCGAAGTAAAAGTCCTCCTTTTCTGATAAATTGTCGGAAAAGAGGAAGAACGGAGGGGTCGGCCCTCCCAGGTCACCAAGGGAGTCCAACCGCCTCGAAAGACAAATGGCATTCCTTTTCAGCCATAGTTCGCCCTCCAAGATTTCTCCCTCACCACCGTAAATGCTCACGTCGTGGTGCGCGAGCGAAATGACATATCGGACTTCCACCTGGTTGGCATCGTCATAGAGCATTAGATGGCCATGTCTGTCCAGCGATATGGTCAGCATTGAGAAATACCAAAGAGACGGCACTAATCCAATCCACACCTACCGCAGAACAATGTAAAACACATTACGCGCCCTTTTCCCGTTCTTGCCATTGTTTTTCGCAGGCTCGATCGTCGGCGTTTGCCTCCTATCAAACAGACTCCGGTACATAGTTTGGTAGACGCTGGGGCTCTCGGCGGCGATCACCTCGCCCGCTGGGGTGGTTCTCTCGGGAGGCTTGCCATTGACTCCACCAGGGACATACTCGCGACAGACAGCAAAATATCCGGCAGCGACATCGGACTCGTGAGTCCGATGAAACTTTTCTGCTAGCTCATCCGTGCCCGATTTCAGACTGAACTGATCATCGGTCGGTCGTTGAATGCTATCGGGAGATGGTCCGTCTGAATGGTCGGAGGGTGGGGAAGCGCGCGGAAACGTAAGATACGCATGGAGAAGAACCAGCGACAGGACGAGCGGGATGAAGGTGAGTCCGCCGATAAAGTATGCGAGAAGAAAACTACCGAACGAACCCATCGGGACCAAGTCAATCAAAGATGCAGCAGGAAAGGCCCCATTGTCGTCGGTATCACTGTTGCGACCATATGAGGGGAATAGAGCCAAGGGCAAGATGGCGGAAGGAGCACACTATCTCGCAGGTGATATAGGACGACAAGGAGAGAGAAAAGGAATGAGAGATTCAGGAGATAGACAGAGATTCAAGAAGAAGAAGAAGAAGGAGAAGGATATCAGGGACACATGGAAAGAGAGCAAGATAGACTCAGTCACGTTCGTGTCCAAGACAATAATGTATCGCTGTACTCCGTCTCACGTGGAACAGACAGCGGCGAGCTAGGTACTTAGGTAGTCTGGTCGATTCAAGGGCAATCATGAGTAACCGACGATGCTATCGATAGTTTGATACCAGGATCGTCCGTACTCCTTGTTCGGTCTTCGACCCCTCAACCGCTCAGGAGTAGATAGATAGGTAGTTTATGCGTATGCAATTGACTGCCATGAAATTACTGCTCAGTTCTGCTCCCGTACCTTCCGCTTGTAATAATAACAGATCGTACCTTGGGAATCGACCTATGACGGCACCTGACGATAGCTGTCCCCGCTGGGTTTAGCGTAACTTGTGGGTCCTGGCATGAGGAACGTTACCAACTCCGCAAATCAGCTTCACCAGGTAAGGTACTGTTTAAGGTAAGGTAGCTGGCACATCATTGCATCCAATAAATCATCTGATGGAATATCAATTAGACCCATCCAATGACTACAGTCMTGCAGGAGTGTGAGAGCATCAATCTGAAACCATTTTGAAGCAGGAGTTGAGACGGCGACGAGTAGATGGATAATTTGGGAATGGTCAATTAATTTACTCCGTACATGCAGTCCATCTGTCTATCTGTCTATCTGTCCAATACTATGAACTCTCCTGAGGTGCCTTCCATATGCTACGGAGTACTAGAGCTACAGCTAGATATCCTCAAGATGAGGTCAAGATGACCTACTTAGGTAGTCACTCAAGGTCAGATATCTAGCCCTCGATCATCACTTCATCATAGCACGTTTCAAATCTATACGTCTCATTCATAGTTAAATGAACTCGTAGTGCCACAGTTCGCAATAACAACATACAGCATTTGATAATCTAATAAAAGCAAAACATCTATGTTCCCATAAGAATCACATGAAGAAACATTGGATCTATTAACAATCACACTTTATGTCTCATTATCATATGTCCATGGCCTTTCTTCTCGCTGTCAAGCAGATGCAGTAACAAAGGGAAGGCATAAATTGGTAAGAGGGGACAGAAAGATGCAAATTCTAGCAATCATGGAAGGAGAGGGTTAATGATACATAGATAGTGGAAGGATAATGTCACACTCGGTCGTACTCCGCGAGCGATGGCTGTACACTTTGGGTCAATCTGTGGCTGGATGTGGAGAGTGTATGAAGTTGGGAGAATGTGTAGACCA